CATCAAAAAAGATCGACGCAAACCCTCTCGGGAAGGGAGAGAAAGAGAGAGAGAAAAAGAGAGAGAGAAAACCTTTGTGCTGGATAGAGACCTCAGTCCTCTCTGATATCAACATTCATGTTGATTCATTTCTGTTCATCGACTAATAGATTCAATGTTTCAACACTAAATATCCTGAATGTTTGTTCTAAACTCACTGCAGTCCACTTTAGTTCATTAACTCTCATCTGTATCATACTCCAGATTTTGGGCTCAAACTAATTATTCTTGTCTTTGCAGATGATGTAATAACTATTTCTAATGAATCCATGAATTGTTCACACTGTAAAATGTCAGAGAGGCTGATGAAACCTTGGAAGTGCTTCTTCAGTGTGAACAACACTGAGCAGTATTTCATTCATCACCATTTCAAACAGACAAGAGGAAGAAGTCGTCTCAGTGAGGAACCTCAACTAGAACATGTTGGACGTCATCTGATAAAACCTGGAATGAAATACTGAAGCATCGACTCCCTGAGCTCAAGTAAAGCTCATCTAATCTAAGCTGGAGTTCTAATCAGGATGAGAGGAAATCTTCTTCATCCTGAACAACACGGAAAAGTATTCATTGTGTTTATATACTTATATTTAGGAACTGGAAGCAGAACATGTTTCAGTCAAGAAAAGATCTCAGACTGTTTAATTTACTGTGTGTGTGTGTGTGTGTGTGTGTGTGTGTGTGTGTGTGTGTGTGTGTGTGTGTGTGTGTGTGTGTGTGTGTGTTTATGTACTAATAACATAAAGGATGCAAATATAAACAAAAAGTGTGAAACATAAACAAACCTCCAGTTTGGTTGAAGCGTTGTTTTGCTGTTTCAATGTTGCCTTTGTAGACCTGCTGGCTGCCCATAAGGATCTCAGTGTACCGCTTCCAGTACTGAGGATCGTCCTCTGTGACTCTGCTCATCCAGTCCTGTCTGGGTTCTGCTCTCCTGGTGTTACTGTCATAGTGAAACATCTCAACTTCATCCAGCAGCCCAACAATCACAAACTCTGGGAAGTTTGGGACTCCAGAGGACGCAGTGTAGAAATACTTCAGCGAGTGAGTCACTGGAACCAAAAAGGAATCATTATCAGTTCTGATGTCACACTTTAATTAATCAATAATTATGATGTTTTCCTGCACACAGAATTAAAAAGAAACACAGAACATCAAAGACACCCTGATAACATCTGCTGTGTTTAACAACTCAATAAATACAGAAATAAATGTTTACTTTGATATTTATGATGTTTCAGCTTTTAAAAACATTATATTCTAAAATGAAATATTAAACAATTCACATATTCAGATCATCATTTTGTGTTTCTGACTTTTACGCATAGAAATCAGTTTGTAAAACCAGATTTCTTATTATTGTATAATGTTCCTTATATTGACATTTGATTTGATCGTATCAAATCAAACTGTTTTATGTCATAAATTGTGACCTCAGACGTTTCGTCTTGTGAGGTTTTAAACAATAACTTTGAAATCTGAGTTTCTTGAAGAGAAGTGGAGACACAAACAAGTTCAAAGGTCATTTATTTGATCTTTTAATTGCTGTTAACATTTTTTTTTTTCAAATCAAAACGTATTCATTTTGTTGTTGAGATTGTTAAGATTTAAATTGTTTGAGTAGAAGGATTTTCCTTTTTTCATTCAACCATTTACAAACAAGAAACTAATCTGACCAGTTTCTTGTTTATCTCTATATTTAAGTTGAACTATAATATATAGTTAATAGTAAATATCTTTGTGAAAAACTAAAGTATAAACAGATGGACACAGCATTATATTTAAGAAACTATATTAAATCTGTATCTATTTTAGTTTCTATCGGTATCAGGTGGATGAATAGAATCCAAGAAGATTAGAATATTATTTAAAATGATCAGCACAGTAAAAATGTTTCACAATCTTCATGTCCTCTGTGTCTGAATTCATATTTATGAGTTTTTATTTCAGCACTGGTCACTAAAATGTTTTGTAAATCTGTCCGAGAATAAATATATTTCCTGTTAATACATCAAATACTGCAGAGAGATGCTGGACGTTTGAGGCTGATTCTGATTAATATAGTCTGAATATTAAATATTTCAGCTGATAGTATTTTTAATATAAACACATGACCTAAACTCACTGGATTCAGATTGATAAGTTGTTGTTTTTAGTAAACGAGATACAAACTAAGAGTTTAAAATCAACTTTTGCTCTTCCGGTTTATTAATGAGCTCAGACTGAGTTTGACATTTCTTCACTTGTCTTTCTTCTCACTCATCAGACAACATGTAAACACCAATATATCTGCAATAAGATAATATCTACAAGTAATATTGATGACGGATTCATCAGCATCAGTGTGACGTCATCAGTGATCTGCCGCGCTACGTCATGCTGCCATGTCCGCTTCAAGAGCGATCCGTCCGTTTAATGTCCCGAAGACAGAGACAGCAGAGTGAGACAAACACGCTTCTGTCCTTCACACAAACTCACGAGAGGAAACACGCGCGCACTTTGACAACATGTGTTACTTTTTACAACTTTGTCTGTCGTCATCGAGAGAGTCCTGAGCTAAACATCAGAGACATCAGAGACACTTCAGCTGATGTCTGCAGCCTATGAAGACACGAAGCGTCTCTTCTTCTACAATCAAACACCTCATTAAACAAAGCGTCAACTCACGTGCTGCAGCGCCGTGAAGGCTCATCATCAGGAGAGACAGAACCGAGATCTCCGCCCCGACAAGTCGCATTTTAACGTCCGCTTGTTTCACCGGGAAGGAGAAAAGGTTTCACGGTCCGATCTGTTCAAGGATCACGCGCCTACTGAGGGAGAAGAGCTCGATTCTGACCAATCACAATCCAGCATTTGCTCTACGTCATCAGTAACTAGGTGGAATCAAAGAAAACAGGTTGTTTGTAGGAAGAGAACACTTAATTTCAGGACTGAACACCCCAAACAAGAGAAGATTGCGGGCACCACAATCCTTATTCACATATTCTTTACATACATATTAAAACCCACAATCATATGACCT